AGCAGGACAGCTACTAGTTCAAAAAAAAGAAAAACGAAACAAAACCAAAAAACCCAGAGGGCAACACACTGCATTGTTGGGACGTTGAAACTACTCCTGGAACAAAACCACTCTTCCCACAGAATGGGGGCTCAGCAGGACAGAGTACATCAGCTCGTGAACTGGGATACACCTACCCATCGCTGGAAACACAAAGGAATTAGGTGAACTGCCACGCTAAGGATCGGTTCTGAATTGCAACCACAGGAAGAGGGATAACTTTATCAGCTCATGCATGCCAACCTGCAGCGCTCTTAGAGCTGAGCAGGTATTTTGCATCTGTCAAAACAGTCAGTTCTTCAAAAGGATCTTAAGTTCATCACGGTTTGTATTTTCCCTCGCTCCTGCTGGAGAGCTGTGCCAGGCCCACGCGGCACTGATTCTCCCAGCGTACCTGAGAGTATGTGATCGCCTGACATGAGGTGAAACTCACAGCTGCTTCCACACACCTCCCTGGACGTTGCTTCCTGCTACCCCTCTCCCCTGGGATGGGGATTTCCTACCCGTTCAAACCAAAACAGTCACTTACTGAAGCACCATCCTGGAGCAGGCTAGCCCACAGTCCCAGTGGTACAACTGCTGAATGACTGGCACTTTCAGCTGGATGCAGTCAACTGTAGTGAAAACACCCCATTGTGAGTAAAACACGGAAAACATCAATCCATACAGGAATGTTTTTTTCCACACCTCAGCATTAAAAGTCAGCTTGTCCTCAGCACTTAGTGATGGAAACCCACATACGTTTTTTTACTTTATCTAGACTGGCAGGTAGTTTTTTCCTTTCCCAAGGGAATGGAGGTTTGGTATTTCTGTACAGTCAGGGATTTGGTTTATCTCCTACTCTGTTGTTCCATACCTGGATCACTCTGCCGTATCGCCCACCTCCTTTTCCTTGCAAGTTGGCATTTTTCGGTGGGGTGACATACCCACCAGCTCCTAACTGTGAAGCTGTATCCCCTCCTAAGTAAGAGTAGGTGAGGCACAGGTATTCGTCCTTTCTCTTGTGTCTGAACGCATTTCTGTGCCACGAATGGAGTTAAACTGCGAGAAACCGACACAGCCAAGATGTCCAGGCACCGATCTCTGACAAGCCCCACAGACAAGAAAAGCCAGCATATGCTGTGGCTGCAGCACTGGAAACACCTCTCCGGTTTGCCAGCTCCTCGGCGCAAGAACTTACAGACGGAGCCAGTAATTCCACATTGCTGCGGCTGGCGAAACCTCGGCTTCCCGGCTCCGGGAGCGCGGAGGAGGCCGCCAAGGTCTCCGAAGGGGAGAGCGAGAGCCGCCCGCTCCCCGCCGTCGGCAAAGCCGTGCCCAGGGCTCCCTCCCCCGGCCCGAGTCAACGTCCAGCCCGGGGCCCAGGGCCGACCCCAC